CCGCACCTGCCCCGCCCGGCCCGGTCCGGCCCTGCCCACGGGCGGAGCCGCGGCCTGCGCCTGCAGCCGGCCCCGGCGTGGGCGGATAGCCCGGCATCCGTGGCCTTGTCATCCCCGGGGCTTCGCTCGCATCGTGTCCCGATCGGCTCGGCCGGAGCGCCAGGCCGGGCGGTGCAGGGAGGGCAGCTCYAAGCAAACACGTTCAGCTCAGGGGGATGCCCGGCTGTGAGGGTTCATCCCGAGAGCTGCGGTGGAGGAGGAGGAGGGGGTCAGTTCGCAATGAACGAGCCCCGGGATTCCTCAGCCCCCCCCGGGTAAGCGAATGTGCCCTCTGCAGCATCACCCGTGATGCTGTGGGGATGGGACATGCCATGTCTGGCCTTCCCTGCAGCTCCCGCCGTGTCACAGCTGTATCTGGGATGTCAGTGTGTCAAAGAGAGGGCGATGGGAACATCCACAGTCACTGGTGTCACATTTTTATTATAGGCACAAGATTTTAGGGAGGTTTGGTTGGGTCAGCCGGACCCTGTGGTTTGGCTTGCCACAAGAGCTCTGTCGCTTGAAGGATCAAATCCCAAACAACTGCTGTTTAAACTGGATTTCAGTTCAGCTCTTTGTGCTTGTACACAGTAATTAATATATATAATGTTGCAGTGTCCTGCTGTTCATCATGCAATGTTGCAGGTGCTGTAGGTGTGAGGTGGTGCTGAAACCAAACCCAAGGAYTGCTCCGTGCCCCCTGTGCTCCTCACGATGCGCTGGAGTGGCATTTAGGCAGCAGTGATCTAATACAGAAAGACAGGAGTGAGTCTGGCCTTGCAGCTCTGTTCTCTTTTATTTCCCTCCCTTGGAATCTGTGTCAGGAAGAGTGGTAAGCCCTGAACCAGTAATTTCATGGAGCTCTTTTGGCCCTGTCAGCATTGTTATTCCAAATATCAGCGTATCCCTCTGTGTGTGTGTGTGTGTGTGTGTGCACTGAAATATCAGTTAATCACCAACAAAACACAGACTGCTGTTGATTTTTTTCCCCTTGGTGAGGAAATGATGTCCTTGATTGGTGAGTGTTTAAATTTCCACTGATTAATTCAGTTTTCCAAAATTTTAGGGAATTTAGAAGTTGTCAGCCAAGAGTCTGTCCAGCTGGTCAGGCTGCTGAGCTCAATGTCCCTTCCTTGGGAAGAAGACATTCACAGCAGGTGTATTGACTCTTACTACTGCTGTTTGAAAGAGTGCTGGAGTTCCTGGAGCAGAGCCCAGGAGAGACACAAACAGGTACCTGTGAGGCTGTCCTGGTCCTGGGTGCCATCACTCATGGACAGCTTTCACCTGCAGCAAGTCTGTCACTCCAACAGCCATGGGATGTATCCCTGTTGTTTTGGAGATGGATTGGATCAGCGTGCTGGGAGCCTGTGCCCAGTCTAATAATAGTCTCTGCCATATTCGTTTCAACCAAGTCAAAAAGGTGACTTCCAACACAGCAGCAAAACCAGCAGATAATCTCATAAAATTATTTTTCCCYCTCTGGAGTTGTTGAAAGCATTTTCTCTCATTCCCATTTGTTTTACCAGGAAGGTGACCAGAAGACATCCTACAGCTGTCTGTGATTCCAGCAAAGAGGTGAAGATTAAAAATGTCAAAAATCACTACAGAACTTCTTTTGGAAAGAGCAGTTCCAAGATCTACGAGGCTCCGAAAGATCGAGACGCTGAAGTAAGTGCAGGCAGGCCCATGGAAAATTCCAGATTAATTCAACCTAGGCAATCCCTTTTTTTCTGTCTTCCCCTTCTCTCTTTTTTTTTTTTTTTTTTTTTTTTTTTTTTTTTTTTTTTTTTTTTTTAACTGAAAAAAGGAAAACAGTTCCAAAGCACAGAGCTGAGATGTCATTTCCAGTGCAGGATCAGTGAGCACTAGTGGCACTGTGTTCACTAGAAAGGTTATTGGCAGATGTCACCTTTTTTTGCCATTTCTATTTGTGAAACTGCTCAAGACTAGATCCTGATTTCCTCCCCCAAGGTATAATCTCTACCCTCAAAGCACTTCCACCTCTGTTTGAAATTGCTTAATGTGAATAAGAGAATCTTCCAGCCTGGATTTTAGAGGGGGTTTAAAGTATTTTTGGCATTATTTCCCTTCCATTTGCCTCTCCCTCCATCCCTTTCCATCTCCTCTAAATCCAGTTATCCTACTACCTCAAACATTGCAGAGGAAGAGAATAAACTCTAAAATACTTGGAAACTACAAAAAACAGTTTTGTCACTCTGATCATTAACAGAAGTCATTGCAAATATGTATCTTTCCAAATGTTTAACACAGTGGAATTTCACTGTTCCAGAGCTGGTCAATCCAAGTGAGTCAGCTGGCCAATTTCTGGCTGGCGCCTTTGTTGTTTTTGTTGCTGATGTCAGGGGGTTTGGGTTTCACATGTACTCGTTAAAGTTATTTCTTTCAGTTTGCCTTGTGCTAAAATAATTATTTTTAGAGAGAAACTCAAACGTTTATCTGAGGAGTCTCAGCTGCAGTAATCTGGGTAACGGTGRTGGGCAGATGTTTGAAGCTGTGGATTTTTGGAGTGTGGCTTTTTCCATGCAGCTTCCTACTGTGATGTTGAAGGGTTGTATTTCAGGAAGTCCATTTGGGAAACACCACTGAGTTTCTCCCCAAAATGACACCACAGTCACAACTTTGCAGCCAGCTGTATTCTCTTCAACCTTTCTTACCAGCTCTGACAGGCTKGTTACACTCCTGAGAAGGCAAAGGATGGAGAAAGGATCTTGTTTTCTGGGTTTATTTGCCTCATTTATTCAAACTTCATTAATATCTAGAAGCTTATTTTTTTAAACTAATCATTAGAGACTGAGATTCTGTTTGTTAAAGGAACTYAAGTTTGTGCCCTCAAGAGATGCTGACTCCCAGGACTGGGAGCTCCCCTTGGAGCCCCCCTAAATGATCTAACCAAATATAAATGACCCTGCTTATAATACGCAGTTTCCACTTTCTTACAGAGAAAGGGGTATTTTTTTTCCCTCACCAATATTGTACCACTTCCTCTTCCAGGACAGAGTTCTTCTGCGTTGGTGGCAGTCTTGGGATGTTGTTAGGTAGATTTCTACATTTATCATGGGGGGTTTTCGCAGCAAAATTCACTGTAAAAGAAATTGAAAAATCACTTTTTTTTTTCAAGTTAGTTCTTGGAAGATGGCCAGATTGTTTGGGAACATGCTCTGCACTTGGCCTGAGCTGTGAAATAATGAATCTAATRCATCCTGTGGACAAGGTAGACTGCTGGTGTAGTGAATAAGTGTCTTGTGTTGCTGCACCTTGTTTTGTTGAAATAACACTGCAAAGGAATAAAATATCAAATCTCTTAGAGGTGTAGTTATATTTTTTCTATAAAATAAGAACTTTTCTGGTGATTCACTGCTCCCAGCCAGCTCCTAACCCCTAGGAGATTATCTGAATTGCAGGTTAATTGTACTTTGGCAGACCTGAGTCTCTGATGGTGTCTGTTAACTCAGACACATCAGCTTTCCCACAGTGTGCTCACAATCCACAATGCTGCCACTGGAAAAAGCAGGTTTGGTCAGATGTACCCAGTGAGTTGTGCTGGACTGAGGTGCCACCAGGTGGGACTTTGTATGCTGTGAAATCAGCATTTGTTCTTCCAGTGAGCTGCAGATACTTCATGTTCTCTTTTGTTTTCAGCCTGTCCAAGCTGCAATTGAAGACTGGAGACTTAGACCCGCGTTTGTTTTCCCGCCTGAGGCACCTGCAGAAACTTGATCTCTCTGATAATTTACTGGACAAATTTCCCAACAGTCTAACCCTGCCCGATCTGCGTGTCCTGAACTGCAACAATAACAAGCTGGAAGATGTAACTGCTCTGAAACAGTTCCCTCTGCTCGAGGAGCTGACCTACGAGAACAACGTGTACTTGACAGTGAGTTACCCCCCTCCTTTCATGAAACAGAGAGGCAAACAAACCACACTTGTGCAGGGTTTTTATATATTGTTCTTAGGCAGCAAGTGCTAGGGCATCTGAGAAAGCAGCCAGCCTTTGTGTGACATTTAACCCCTTGGTGCCAGTGTTTCCCAGTCTGCAGAAGTGATTTGCCCAAAACCTCTCAGATATTAAAATCTGTGTCTTGAACAGATTCTCCAGGCCAGGGTTCCATCTTAGGTAGTTCATCAGGCAGGGTATCTTACRCTCATGCTTGTGTAAAATATGGTAATTACTGTGTAGAAATGTCCTTCTTGTAGAGTTATGGAATCACAGAATGGCTTGKGCTGGAAGGGACCTTAAATCTCATCTTGTTCCAGCCCCMGCCATAGKCAGGGACACCTTCCACTATTCCAGGTTGCTCAGAACCCCATCCAGTCTGGCCTTAAACACTTTCAGGGATCCAGGGGAAGCCACAGCTTCTCTGGCCARCTGTTCTAGGGCCTCACCACCCTCAYAGTAAAGAGTTTTTYCCTAATATTTTATTTCTTAATWTCTGTGTTAGTTTTAATGCCCTTTGTGCTCTGCAAGAGCAGACTCAGGCCTCTGATGAGGAGGTGATTTAGTCTGGATTCTGATTTCTCCCACAAGGCTTTGCTGGCTGTACAAGTTAAACACCCAAAGCTAATTTTACTTGTGCTGTAGACTGGCATCAGCCACTCACCATCCCTACATTTATTTGCTGTTGCATGTATGGCTGCATGGTGAACTRTCTGAATTAAAWTGCATTTGACYCAAAGAATTCCTGCAGGAATTAATYTACTGGATGCAGGGCAGGCCTTCCCCTGTGTTGGAGTTAAGGGATATGAACAGAGCTCTCTGCCTTGCACTCAGGCTGAGCTTATGAGCAGTTACACAGCCCCCACCTTGTGTTAGATGTTAGCACTGCCTGAGGCCTGGGCAGTTCCCTCTGCAATTCAAGATCTAGCTCAGAGAACATTAATTCACAGCTAAAAGGCGAAATTCAAGTTGAAAGTCCCGAGGAGATTTTTATGAAATGGCTTTTCCTTACTAAATACATCATTCTCATACTGGCTGTATTTTAATCAAGGACTAAAGGTAAAGCAAGTACCATGTGCACAATTTTGTAACTCCAGTGTTTTCTCTTTCTAGCTCAATGATGACTATAAAGTAATGTTTCTTCTGCAAAACCTTCGGCTGCTCAATGGCAAGGAYATAACCAAACTGGCCAACCATGTGAGGCGTGTCAACAGTCGTAAGCTCACCAGCAAGGTAAGATGTGGGAAGTTTCCTTCACCTCAAAACACCTGAGGAATAACTAAATACCGTGCTCAGTGTAGTGACAGAGATGCAATCAAACATCAAGTGGTTTGCAGTATCTGTGGTATGATCTGAGCCCAKCCTGCTGAGTGGGCCACGCAGGAAATGTCTCACTGCTGCTTTCTCTGGTCACTGTTGGCATCTGCTCTGCCTGTTCTGTGCAGCCAGTTTGCCTTTGGTTTAGGTGAAAGGAGCAAGGCCAATCAGCTCTGTGTCTGACCCTGCAGTTTTCCAGGTCACTCTGATCATTCAGGAATGGGAGAAGCCTGGTTGTCCTGGTTTGAGGAGACAAAGGCTCCCCCCACCTAGCCCCTGGAAAATAATTTCCTCATAGGAAAAGAACCAAAAACCTAAAGCCTTTATTTAACAAAAAAACCCACAAATTTGTTAYTGAAAACCTGTAGAAACAGCTGGTGGATTTAATGTCCTTTCTCCTTGGGTGTGGCTTTTTCCCCCTCCAAGAGGGGTAGTGTCCCGGAGGGCTGGGATGTCTGGTCTAGAAAAAAAACAAGTTGAAGGGAAAAAAAAAAATATCCAAGCAGGAGACTTCTCACCACAGCCAGCCAGCAGTAGCTCACACCAAGAGAGTATGAAAAAACCAAGATACTCTCCTCCACGCTACAGATGCAGCACACAGGGAGGAAAAGTCCTTGAATGGAAAGCTAGGGTACAATTACAGAACAGTTGGGTTTTTTTTTCCCCTCTGGTCATAAGCCAGAGATAGGAATACAGCCACCCTAGGACACTGGTGCTGGCAGAACTGCTGCAAACACCTCCCCATCTAATTTATGTCGCTGTCCAGGCCCTAGGAATGGAAAGCACAAAACCAAGCTTAGGATAATCTTGCTTTTTCCAGCACATACCAGGAACAAGGATTTGTTCTTTCTTTTTCAGTTGTGAATGTTTACAACTCCATTTTCACTCATTTGTCTACACAGTTCAGCTCCTGACAGATTGTCCCCACAAGGCATCGTTGTGATCTTGAGCAAAATTATTGTTCAATTAAAAAAGGTTTGGTTGGCTGGTTGTTTTTGTGTATTATTGCTCATATAATTCATATTCTAGTTAATTGATCTTGTTAATTCCTTCTGTGTAGCAGTGGGGGAAAAATCAAATACCAAAGACAGGGATGTCTTGTGCTGAGTGTTGTACGTGTAATGTCTGTGTACCTCAAAAGGGTCACTCTGAGGGCTGCTGAGCCTCTTGTCCCAGACAACTTGTCATAGCTGKCTGTTTAATGAGACACCAAAATCTCCCCTGTGCTGGTCTTTTTGTGGAGTCTGTGCCCTGATACCTTTCCCTGATGGTATAAATTTATACCTGCCTGCCCAGTTCTCAGTCTTGCGTCTCCATTTAAAATGTCTGTTGGGTCCAAATGCTGATGGATGTGTTACTGCCCACCAGGAACTCTGACTGGAAACTGTGCTGACAGGTGAGCATCCCCACGGTTGTGCCTGTAGTTCAGCAGCCTTTTGGAGTCCAGGTATCTCTCTAAGTGGGCCCACAGTGTCTGCCTAGTCACACTCACTCCAGTTTGGTTAGAGGAACTGACTTTCTTGTTAGCCGGAACAGTCATTTGAACATGAATAAATAAATTAAAATGGTGCCATCATGTAGAGTGCAGCACTCAGGGATGGCCACTTCTTCAATGCTTTCACAAGTTCTCTTGTGCTTTTCTGCTTTGTTTTTTCTGTTGGATAAACTCAGTCTTTCTGCCTAGGTTACTGCTCATTGGGAAAAATTCTTCCGTGACCARCTCCCTGAGAAACACACAGCTGAGCAAGTGAAGTCCATTAGAAAAAAGTTCCTGAAGTCAGTACAGACCAACGTGGTGTATGGACCCAGCTCACTGAGCGAGTTCACCCGCTGGCGGGTAGGTGACATCCCCCTCACCCTCCTGTTCTGCAGGCAAGGACCCTGCTCCTGCTTCTGCATGGGTTTGATTAAAACACTCCATGGATTTGGGTGCTCTTGCAGACAGGTGCTGTCACTTTTTCTTCACTGCTTTGTCAAACAGTTACAGAAGCACCAGGACTAAACATGCATCAGGTTGAAATGGCTGTCATTAAACATGTTTTTTTTAATTCATAAGCAATAATGATACTTATTACTAATGTACTAATTAACCAGACTGCAGTATTCTTAATGCTTAATTATTTGCAAATTAGTTTAATGGCCACCTTTACTCTTGATGAAAGAGAGAAGATAATGACAGAAGCATAGTTGCTCCCAGTGGGGAAAGATACTATTTAGTTTTTAACATTTGTTTTATTTGTGTGTTCATACACAAAATTGTGTCTTCCATCTCTCCTTTGTCTTGTTTTATTACTGTGCTGTTGTTTCCACAGCTGTGTACCCTGGATGCTCATGACCAACTGAAGTTCTTGGGTCGTGTAATGACAGCTGGGGACTCRTCCACCAATTGTGAAATTCACACAGAATAGTGGGAGCAGATGTTAAAAATTCAGCAAAGYAGCTCTTTGTACCATGACCCATCAGAGTTTGATATGCTGTGGCTTTTTTATCTTCTTTTTTCTTTTTTAACATAATTCACATATTTGCTTCTCAGGTGAAAATGATTGCAGAAGAGTTTCTGACATACTCACTAGGTCTGGAGATAAACTCTGATACTGAGCCAGAGGAAAAGGCAGATGAGAAAGAGGAAGAAAGCACAGAAAGCCCCAGGGAAGCTGCAGAGGATGTGGCTCAGGTAGGTGATTTTTCCAGTTACATTAGCAATGTTCTTTCTGTTTCCTGGGAATTCAGTAGCTCTTGTCAGTTCACATTTATGACCCTTTGGTAACCACAGGGGCAGTCTCAGGCTCYAGCCTGTATCCAGCAGCTCGGGCTCCTTTACAGCCAGATTGAAGCTTTCCCAGAAATGTGAAGGTTGAGATGCTCTCTGAGAGGAGAGAGCTTCCATTCCCATAGGAGACCAAAAACATTCCATGAGTGCAGTCCTACTCACTCCACWACTCCTCTGGGAAGGGATATTTCAATTAGAGAACTGGGCTGATGCCTGGCCAGACTCTGTTGGTGTTTGCCTGCTTGGAAATGGCTGCARACTGAACCCCTGTGGTCCATGGGCCAGATTTGTTTTTCCACATGGTATGTAAATTGCAAATAACTGAGACAGGTGGAGGGAACTGAAAGTGAGGCTGGCTGTGTGGTTTTCATTAGCTTCTGCCTCTAGGAACCCTGCAGCTCTGGRCTGTCTGATTCCTGGAATCCGGTCTGTAACCGTGGGAGGGTACTTGCACTTGAATCATTAATTGAATAATTAATATCTTTGACTTACAAATTATCTGCACTTCTYGGGGAAGCTAAAAACCTTCTGCAGGACCTGACAATATGAAAACATGCCTTATAGGTCACAGTAACACCCAGCAAGAGGAAAAGAAATCATTCAAAATCAAGCCCTGGAAACAAGAGRTCCAAGTCGCAAGCAAACACCGAGGAGGAGGCTGTAGTGAATCCCAGAAAATCCAGTCATGTGCAGGATGACCCAGCTCCTGATAAACCAAGAACATCAAACCAGCCAGCCAAGGAGGAAACTCCTGAGCAGGAAGCTGAAGGGACACAGAAAAATGGAGAACAGTTTCCCAAGGGGCAAAGCAACAGAAGATCCAGCCAGATGACAGGGGAACAGAAAAGCCAGGAGCAGGACAATGGGGTGGTTACCTTGACCCCAGTGAAGAACTCCAAGAGTAAGGTACGTCCATCAGCCCCCTTGGGATTGGCTTTGGGTCTCTTGGTTTAGTGGGAGGAGCTGCATTCAGGTTTCATCAGAGCTCTGCACAGCTTGGAGCTTACAGTTGGCAAGATATATTGTGAGTTTTGGTTTGTTTTTTTTTTTTGTTTTGTTTTGTTTTTGTCATTGTTTTAAATCTCTCAGAGGCATCAAGGGAGAGAAGGGACCCCCCCAGGAGACCCCAGTGAATCCCCTCTGGGGAATGGATGGATCAGGACTCCAAGGTGGTKCACTGAAAGCCTGTGCTTAGAAATGGGACTGGCAAGCCTTGCTCTCAGCTCAAACCAATGGCTGCATGGGGAAAGGTGTTTCCCCCTCAGCTCAGGCCAGTGGGGATCTAAAGGGTTTTTCACATTTCTCTGCAGCAGGAAATGGGGTTTTCTGCTGGCRTCTGCTGGGCACATCTTTGCTAAACAGTTCCCTGCTGCTTTAGGAGCCTTGAGCATTGGTGGCACCTCAATCTCTCCTGTTCTCTGTAGCTGAGAAGGGCTGAAAAATACTTGAGTTTAACTCGGATTGCTGTGGCAATCACAGGCAAACCGTGTCAGGGGAATGAATTTTCTAAATGTGGATGGTTTATTGTAGGAGGATGTCACTGCAGAGCCATTGCATTTYCTTCAGTGTCACAGTAAAGGCAACAGCCGCGAGGATTTTAAAACGCAGCTCTGGTCCTGTGTCTTCGAGCCAGTGCTAGACTCTGGAACCAGGAAAGGTGAGCTCTTAAAGAGGTTTGCAGGATTCCCAGAACCACCTGGCTCTGGAATCCCAAAAGRCTCCATGCCTTAGACCCCTGCTCCTTCAAGCCATAGTCTCTGTTGTCAGGAAGAGACTTGCTCACGTATTTCGCCTTTCATTTTGAAAACAGGAGTCTGGGAGAGCACCCAGCAGTGATAAGCTGCAGTCTTCRTGTGTTATCCCTGAGACTGGGAACTTCTCACCTGTTCTTTTCCTCTTTCAGATCCCATTGTGAGCTCTTCCAGAACCGTGGCAACCTGTGGAGGGGAATCTGTCTGTCTGATTGATTGTGAGACAGGGACAGTGCTGAAAAAGTATAAGGTGGCTACAGAGGTGGGTTGCAAGTGGGAAGGGTAAGCATTGGATGGGAATACCATAACCTGTAGTAATTACATACTTTTATACATTACAGATATTACAAAGAAGTCTGAAAGGGTTAGTGTGGACAGATGTTAAGAAGATAATAGACATTCCTTGTTTATCCTTTTAGCCTGATTTGGAGTTTTTTTGTTTTTTTTTTTGTTTAAGAGATTAGCCTGCCAGTCCTCACACAGGTGTGTCTGGCTGCTCAGCCTGCTTGACAGCACAGAGGAATAAACATCCTGTATCTGTAGTTTGTGTTGTTCTGAGGGCTGCTTTGAGTTTTGATGCTCCATCTCAAACACTGTTGTAATTTCACCCAAGTAGCACTTGTGACAGTTGTCTTATCTCTGAGCTAACAGCCACCACCCTGCTGGCTGTTCTCTGTCACCCCAGTCTCGTTTTCCTTCTGTCCCAGGAGTTCTTCAGCGTTGCATGGACAACTCTCACAATGGTAATCAGCGACAGTCGGAAGAAAGCTCACAACATCTTGGCAGCTGCTGGGAGGAGAGGGATTGTCAAACTGATCCACGTGGCAGCCGACTTCTGCTACGGAGAGATAAAGGCTCACAAAAAGCCCATTGCTACTGTCTGCTTCAGCCCAACCCAAGAGACCCATCTCTTCAGTAAGTCTGCTTCAGAATCCCTGGTTTTAGTTCTGATGTGGAAAAGTCAGGCCTTCCTTAACAAGGGGAATTGTCACCAGGGCAAGCAGGGACGCACAAACAAAAGGCAGGGACAGGCATTAAGGAGGGAACATTGTTAGCAGCAACCTCCAGCAGGAGCAGCTTGTTTCAGCCAGAGCCTGGCTCCTCAGCTGAGGTGCACAGCTCCTGTTTCTCTCTCAGTGGCTCTCAGGGTGGCTGTCACACACACACACATTAGCCATAAACAAACCCAGTAGTGGATCTGTTCCACAGGGATGAGTAAGAAGAATGACAGGCAGAGCAGGCAGCTGGGAGCCAGGCAGTGGCAGGGCTCTCCTCCAGCAGCCTATTATGGGCTGTTGGGTTTCATTTTTTCCAACAATGTGCTTAATTCTTTTTTTTTTTTTTTTT